AATCTCTTTTTATATTTTTTATTTTTGTTAGATCCCTCGTTGCTGAACAAAGTTTGGAAAGTAAGTACTGCATGTATTTGGTTATGCAATGTAGAATATGTATGTTATTACCTTGCGTAATCCTTAGAAAATGCTACTTAGAAAAGAATCTGCTATCTGATTTTATTCAAAAATGTTCAGTGTACATGCACAAATAAGCAGTTTGAATTGTTGTTTATACATTTTTGTTTACTTGAAATTTTCGGGTGTGCAGTGCTTAAATTTGTTGTGTAATATTTAAAAAGTTAGCTCTAAAAAAATATTATTGTTTTGTGGATTTAGGGATAACATATTAGGTTACTGTAAGAAGGAAATTATATGGAGCTTTCGATGAGAATGAAAAGCTTCCACCCCTTTTCTCTATCGCTGTCTCTGCCTTGGCCTGGCTATCTCGCTCACTCTTCTAACAATCGCACCGATTACGTTTTTTTTTGTCGCGTAACGTTTGAAGATGACGAGCGCTTGTTGCTTTTGCTGCCAGTGCCAGACGAACTGGCTCTGCTTTCTACGCTTTCGCAGGCGGAGTGGGTGGGGCATTGGGTGGTGGCTGGTGGGGGGTTCGACAATTGAAAAGGTGCGGCGACATTGAACAAGCCAACGAACGGCGAGAGAGCAAGAGAGCCAGCTGACTTTTTTGATAACATCGTCATCGTCATCGCAATTTTAATTTATGCGCAACACACGCACAACTGTATCTCTCACACAGTCAGCTGCCCAACAACTCTCAATTGTGATTGTGACTTTTTTTTGTAAAGCTTTACATCTATTTAAACATTTTGCAATTGTTGTTGTTACTCTCTGGAGCAGGGGTGTACGAACTCGATAAAACGTTTGCACAGTCGGATCATACATTGATCATTGACTTTAAGGCTAGAAAAAAGAATAGCAATGGAAAATAAATATTGATTTTCAGTCTTGTCAAAGTGAATATGTATTTATGTACATACATACATATGTACTTCAAAATATATAAGAACCGAAATCTATGATTATTACAATCTCAAAATTTAGTTTTATTCTATGTTAAAAATGCTCAACACTTTAATGCTTAATTGACAAGTTAAGTTAAGGCCTTATCAGCATCTGCCCATCATTAAAACCGAATTGGGGGCTTGTAGATTTGTACTGCTTCTTCAAATTCATTATTTCTTGAAATTCGGGTAATCAAATTTTTTCCAGAATTCTGAGGAAAGAGCCTTGTCTGAACCACAGTTTCATATGTTTTGGTGATTTTTATGATTCGATTTTTTAGTTTTAATTTTTTCCAAAGATTAGGATACTACATTTTTGATAATCACAGTCTCGAGACATACATAGGTGAATCATGAATCGAATCATTTAAAACACATGTATTATTTGAATGAATCATATCTTCAAACTGGGGAGGACTTTAGTAACAGTTTTCTAGCAGGGCTGTCCAAATGAAAATCAATAAATAAGTAGGTATTGGATAAACAGGTGAAAATATTTTTCCTTCAAAGTCGAGCAGCCTGTTAAATATTATTCATAGAGTAGCCGATAATTGTGAGACCGTCCAGCTGCCCGATTGAGGCCACTGTGCGAATTTAATTCTGCTGCCGCGCGCTCACTTATGTAAACACGCTGCCCACTGTGCGCGCTCTCTCTGCCTCTCTCTCACGCTCTTTCTCTCTCTCTCTCTTTTTGGCTCTCTCGTTACAGCAGCAACGATCGACGACGAACGGTTGGAAAGGTCCGCTCAGTTGTCCGCTAAAAATCGACATCGCGAGTCGAGACGCATCACAGTGGGAATTTTCGACGGCGGCGACGCGTCGCCCGTTGCAGTGGCGCATTTTTTCGTCGGTTTGATTGATTGCGATTATGAACGAGACCTTCAAGCTGTCCGGAATGCAGCGCAGCAATATCGAGCTCGAGCGGCAGAGGCACCTGGCCAACTGGCTGGTTAAGAGCAGTCCGCACATGGCGGCCGCAGCAGCAGTAGCAGTCACAACAGCAGCACCCACTGCATCAACAGCAGCGGCTGCAACAACAACAAATCCGGGCTCAACAGTGGGAGGAGCAGGCGCAGGAACAGTGGGCGGCATAGGAACAGCAGCAGCAGCGGCAGCAGCAGGCGCGCCCAGCAACAGCGTCGCAGCTGCAGCTGCATGTAACGGTAAGCTCGGCGGGGGCGGTGAGAAAAAGAGGTAGAGGGAGACAGGCACGCGCTCCAAACAAGCGAGAGCGGGAGAGGAGAGCACTGCGTGTTTTTTTGTTTGCTCAAATGACGTCGCTTTTGCTTTTCCCGAATTCCCTTTTTTATTGGGGGTATGTTAATTCAGAATATCAATTTAGACCATCTATAATAAATTTTTGCAAAAGTGAACATCTTGTTTAGTTATTGTTATACACCTACAAATAATAAAGAACAAACTCAACAAAGAAGTTACTATTTTTATAATAAAGTACAGTAGTATAAGTAAACCAGAACTTTGCAGCTGCAAAAATGTACATACATATATATATAAAAAGTTCCAAATCGGTATAAAACCTATACAAGGTTTTGGAACTTTTTGTGATTAAAACTTAATATCACCCACAAAGTCAAAAAGTATATTAATTATTAATTGAAACATACTAATATTCTTACCTCACATTCTTTACAAGTTTGTCTGTCAAAGATTTTAATGACATTTCGTAAGTGAGCTTAGTTTGCACTTAAACTTCCATAATAAAAACTGTCAAGAAAATCTTGACAACAATAACAACAATTTAGAAATCTTTGGCCATAAAAATCTTTGCGATAGGGAAGATTAGAAAATGGATTTAAGTAAACCATAATTCCTTATTGATCTGTAATCTTATAACACAAATTTGTTTAATATCTAAAAATTCCAAACACACAATTACGATCTGAAATAAAACAATAGGGATATAATCCCCTGAGGTTAAATAAAATATTGAAAATTATCTGCGAACTGAGGATCCACATAAGGTCTTTGTGTGTTACGATTAATAGTGATTGCACTGAAAGGGTATTTTAAATCTCGATACCAGAAGAAAGCTATTTCTTTTTTAGCTAGCTGGTGGTTCGTGTCGCCTTAATAGTGAATTTTTTTCCAAGGCGCGCGCGACTCTTCTCGCTTAATTTCACACGAAACGTGACGATTATACACCCCCCACCCACTCTCTCCCTCCTTCTCTTTATTGTACTCTCGCGCTCACTCGCAAACTCTGCAATTGATATTTCGCAAAAGATAAGCACAATTTCACAAAACGTTTTAGCCCCTTCCCGGTGTTATGCTGTGATTTTTGCCCTCGCCTGCATTTATTAAATGTGTGTTGTGTGTGGGGCAAAAAATTAAGCCAAATGTGCGCAATTAAAGTGAGTAATGCGCCGCGGACCACCAATCAGCGGTAGCAGCGGATCCAAATCGCACCATGGGCACCAATCGAACAATGAGCAATCAAATATCGCGTTATCTCTTTTTAATTGCACCGCTTGAAGTTCACTCACACACATAAATCTATCAAAACAGACAAAAAAAAAAATAAATAAAAAGGCTAAGTGATTTCATTGTTGAGGCGACAGACAATTGGTTTTTTGGATGTCGGCCGATAACGAAAATAATATATGTTGCCCATGGGGGTGTTATCTTTTTGTGTTGTCTGCGTACCTATTCGCCGTTAATCGCTTCCAGTTGTTGACTCTTTTATTAATGCCTCGATATCCGATCCGATCGGATCTTTGGCGCCCAATAACATTTGACCTTAAAATTGTCAAGTCATAGACCTCACAGTTTTGAGGGTTCTTCCTTAATATTATCTTCAGTGCACTGCACGACAAAAAAAGAACGGTAGCTGCGCAATCAAATATATCAACGCGAAAAAATCTTTATAAATACGCATTCAAAAAATAATCAAAAAAACCGGAAGTACAGGATGACGTGTATTACTCGATAATGGAATTTGTTTGATAATAGCTTACAATAGAACATTGACCCGAGTTGATTTAAATAACAATGCTATACCTAAATTAAAAAATGAAAATGATTTCATTGCTTCTGGGATTTTTTCAAATTGTCAAACTTGTCATAAACCAAACGAGCTGTCTAGTTAATTTTAATGAACCATAAACATACGTCAAAAGCAAAGATTGAGTATCAATTAGCTGATAGTCAATATATTAGTATTGCAAATAAACTCTTGTTAGTGACAAATTTGTTTGCGTAAACGCTGTTATGAAGTGCAAACATATACTGATTAGCAAACTTTGAATTATAGAATCGAGATCAAATATAGAAACTATATGTAGCTAAACCGCTAGGCAAATAAAGAGTCAATTCAAGAAGTACAAGGTACCACAAAAATGTAATACGTTTTCCTTGTCAATGATTTTAAAACAACCTTTGTGTAAACTAAGAAAGATCCAAACTTTTAAATTATTTACTTAACATTGTTTCAGAGATTTTTAATTCAGTACACTTTTAGCCTTGAAACTTTGTATTACAAAATCGAGAGAGAGAATGTTGTGTACAGGTGCTAGTCATTCAGTACTTTTAAGTTCTTTCAGTCTAAAAATGGATTTCTTCAACGATAAAAGTTCGATTTTCCCACTTAAAATTCAGCCCAAGATCTTTCGACATTTTTTCTATTGCGAAAATTCTTGTTAATTTTTCGGTTCCGCTTTGTGGCGATATTTGCCCACTGTGTGTCATCGTCTCGTTGACCGTTGACTGAAAATTAGCTGCGCTTAGCAACAGTTTTGAACCACTTGCCTTTTAGTTGCGTCACGCCAACTGAAATTGGCTTGGGGAATAAAGCTCTGCCGGTGTAGATGTGGAAGTTGATACGACGGTGTGTGGGTTTTTCCCACTGCAGACAACGGGTGGCAATTAGACACTCACATGTGCATTTATATTTATACGATTACCTCACCGATGCACAATGTGCTACTCCTCGTTGCGTTTCTTATATTTTTCCTACCTTAATTTTGTTTGCAGGTGGAGCAGCGGTTGGCGCCCATCACGGCCACCATTTGGCGGCTGGGGCGCGCAAGCCCAAGCTGCGGCGCTTTAACTCCCACGACACCAGCTCCAATATGTTCTCGGTGGCGGATTTCGAGAATGCCCGCCTGGCCCGCCGCAATGAGATCGAGTTGAACCAGCGGTTGGCGCGACGCCAGCGCGGCAGCGCCAACAACAGCACATACGGCTTGGGAGCGGGATCGGGATCAGGATTGGCGGGGGGCGGGTATTCCGGATTCTGTGGCGGTCTCAATGGCAGCGGCGATTACTCCACCGGCGACAGCAAGGCCTCCAAGGGCAGCAGCGAGGTAAGATTAAATCAAATTAATATTAAAGGCAGAGAGAGAAAAACTAAATCTACCCATAAAAAACATAAATTCTCTACTCAAGAACTATCAGTGCCACCAAAATCTCTTCTAATCAAGTTTCTTACGAAAGTCAAATCTTGATGCCTTCAGAAGTCTATTGAACTTAGAGAAGATCTGATAGATCCAACCAAGAACATTCTTGGAATACATTTTTCAATGTTTTTCAACTTTAATTTTCATATTTGTCTGTTCAATTGTTTGTTTCTTAATTTTAAAAGTTTAACTATTTTGTAAAATGATTGAATACTTGGTTAACATTTTTTTGTATATAATACGAATTTCTTTTAGTGTACAGTCAATGACGTCAGTTGGTTGTAATCTTGCAAAAAATCTTTTGCTGCCACAAAAACCCCAAGAGACGTTATTGGGACTATTAATTTCATGGCAATTAAGCTTATGGTTTATGCATACAGTTTTAATTTGAGCCCGTTAACTTTTAAATTGTATAAAATATTTAAGATATTTAATTTGATAAGAAATAAAATACAATACCAATAAAAAAATGTTAATTTATTGTGTTAGAACCATAGACAACCGAAAGAACCATATTGGATTAAATTTATTTAATACTATGTTATTTTCTTCCAGTCGCAGCAGGAAGCTCTGCCCGCCGATGTGTTTCTTGAGCGAAATTCTCTACCCCGTGTCGTACGCATCTTGCACGCTGGCAAGATTTCGAATGAAACTCTGCAATCCAGCTCATCGCATGGCTCCTCCACGGCGGCTTCGAGCAGCTCCTCGACTGGAGCGAATCCGGCTGGCGGTGGTGGAAATATTTCCAGTGGCAACATTGACACCGGCACCCATTCATCGTCCAGCGGAGGAAGCGGTACCGGAACCGGAACTGGCTCTGGTCCTGGTCCTGGACACCAAATCAACAACAGTCGCCACAGCAGCAATGGTGGCACACCACCCGGACACGATGAGCTTTTTCTGCTCTACAGGCTGGTGCGACAGCGTAACATCTACCACGGACACAATGCCAAGACTCAGGCTTCGCAGCGCAAAAAGACTGTGCTCATTCCACAGGAGTTTCCGGGTGAGTTTTAGAAATTGATGATTTAATTACACCACAACACTAAAAAGTTTTAAGTTTTATTTTTATTTTTTTTTCCAATTAAGAATTGCTATTTAAAATTTGGAGTTCCTACTAATTGAAAAGCAATTAGCAACTTAATAACCGTTCATATAAAACAGAATTTATAAAGCCCGATTTTCGATAATTTACTCAATCTAGGCAAACTATTTTGATTAGCTGTTAAAATAATTAGTTAAATTGGAAAGATTAATAAACCTGAATGTATCTGGTTTTAATAGGAATGTTGATTAATTATTTGCTATTTATTGTGAGGAGTAGGTAATTATATTCAGAAACTTAAGATTCATTTGTATATAGCTGAGATGATAAAAGAATTTTCCTGTGACGAGGGCGTCCCCAAACAAGTTGTCATTTCCTTGAGGGAGGTTAATTTATCGCGCACGTTAAATTAACTTAAATGACCCACCGATTGATACGCTGATTGTCAGTAGCTAAGGGCATAACCGAATGATTTAAAAAACGCAGTGACTGATTTGGCACGAACACGGTAGATTATAGTTGTATGCCCATTTACATAATCCAGACGGAGCTCTTTGAAGTCACAATTTAGTACTCTCATGACGAATGCATTTAGGTACTTACATACTTGTGCCTGATTACACGGTCCAGTCGTAACTAACTCACTTAGTGAGTCATCCAAGCGAACTGTGATCTCCCAGTGCGAGGTTACTAAGTACACAATCCATACACATGTAGGATCCCGCACTCCGCTGTTTTTGCAGTTTGCGTGACACAGTCACAGTTCAACAATGAAAAGTAATCGCAACTATTGCTCATCAGGCGTTATGCAATGGGCTCTATTCGGGGTTCCAGTGCCGGTGTCGGTGGTTTTGGCCCAGTCAGTCAGCCAGTGGTAACTTCTTCGGTGGCCCACCACCACCAACACCATCACCACCACCCACTTTCTGCTCCCCCGAACTGCGGTCAGCCATTGTTTCAACTCGCTACGCCATGTGACTTTTCACAGCCGTTTGTCGAGGCGCAATGTAAACCAATGTGTGCAAATATTATGCAATCTGCCAATTTATAGACTCACTGACGCTGGGTATAATCATTTTATTCATTAGGCTTGCAATGTCCGGAAAAAAATGTATGGCAAATTGGAGTGATTCAATTTGCACATCCATATTGGATTTTCCTTGTGTTGATTCAATTGCTCCCGACATTGATTGCATTGGTCTCTTTACGATAACTTTTTATACCCGTTACTCGTAGAGTAAAAGGGTATATTGTATTCGTGCAAAAGTATGTAACAGCTAGAAGGAAGCGTTTCCGACCCTATAAAGTATATATATTCTTGATCAGGGTCACTAGCCGAGTCGATATAGCCATGTCCGTCTGTCCGTCTGTCTGTCCGTCTGTCCGTCTGTCCGTCTGTCTGTCCGTATGAACGCTGAGATCTCGGAAACTATAAAAGCTAGAAGATTGGCATTTTGCATGCAAATTCTAGGAGTTCCTACGCAGCGCAAGTTTGTTTCAAAAAGGTGCCACGCCCCCTTTAACGCCCACAATCGCTTATAAACGATTTAAAAAACTTAAATATTTCGGAAAAGTAAAAATGCAGTTTTATTGTGTTTATCAATACCTATCGAAATGTAGAAGAAATTTTTCAAATCGGACCATTCGTTAAAAAGTTATGCGTGATCAAAGTTTCTATCTCCATCTCCCTCGCACTCCCTTTACCTGAGTAACGGGTATCTGATAGTCGGGGCACTCGACTATAGCGTTCTCTCTTGTTTTGTATATTTAATATTTAAATTCAGTGGCGCGAATTAAACTAAATGAAATGATTAATAGACTCTTTGATACATGTAACTTTTAATTGCATATTATTTTTTTTCCTATACAATGCATGTGCAAACATATGTATAAATAATTTTGTTATTTTTACTTATACTTTAAATTGATTAAATATGGCTAAATGCTTTGCTACATAAAATGTTGGTTATTCATAGATTCGCAAATGAATATCCTTCTTGCCTTTTTAAATCATATAAAAATTGTTTTATGGTCCGGTCTAAGCAATATACATGCATATATAAAGCCCAGTGGTATATTATTGCCAGCAAAACGTCATGTTATTTGTTTTATTTTATTGTACTCATTTTTGGATTGCAAATCGTGTACTATAGTCAGTGCAGAACTGTCAGCTGTCGGGAAAAATGGTTTTAAGATTTTAGACAGTAAACAGATTTGTTCCGTCGCAGAAACCTAAATATCTGTCTTGTTCAAAGAGATTTTGATGTTTAAATAAATTTGAAAATATACAATTTTAGACTTAAAAATAGCCATGGTTTTTGTAAAGTAAGTTCACTTTACTACGACTTTAAACAGATATAAATATTTTAACAGTAGTTCAAATACACTTTAAGTTCAAAGGGAAGAAAAAACTGGCATTTTCCATAGGTATTTATTATTTTTCTAAAAAAAAGAATTAAAGCATAATAAAAGAGTGTTTGCTTTACGACTACACAAACTAATGTTAGAATTTCTTCCCCCTCAGGTTACTTTTCGCTGCTGAGCGAGAAGGGTCTGCCCACGGCCACGCAGTACGGATCTCTGATACAGCTGGTGCGGGAACGTGTCTACAAGTTTGCCTCGGTGGACAACATGCCGGCGTTTACTGAATCCTCGCCCAGCAATGCAAGTAGTCCAACGCACGAGGGCTGTCTGCCCATAATCAAGGGGCGTCCACAGTATGTTAAAACGACTGCAAGGGGCGGACAGGTGTTCCGCCTTCTGGCCGTCTTCGAGGATGGCAAACAGGAGCAGAGCCAGAATAATATGTCGCAGCACGGCAACATTAATGCACCCAAGTCTCATGGTAGTAGCTACATGGGACGCGAAAAGGAAAAGAACCGATACGCTCAATTGCTAAATGAGAACCGGCAGGTGATGTACGTCCCACTGTCCACCAAGGGCAAGTTTTACGAGATCGAACCGGGAATCCCACAGCTGCTCCAGAAGTTGGGCGATGCCCAGCGCAAGCTAAATCCGGAGTGTGTGCATCGATTGGGTGCTTTGGTAACGGCGGCTAAGCAGTTGCCGCTGACACTGCGATATATTTCGGGTCCCAGCGGTTCCGACATTCCCGAGCAGCTGTGCATTAGTCAGGTGAGCAAGGAGGATGTGGTCGTTGGCTGTTCCATTGAGGACGTGGACGCCCAGACGCCCCTGCAGCTGAGGAAGTTCCATCCCAGTCGAGATATGCAGCTGGTAAAGAGTTATCTGGGCTTTGACTCCGAGCAGCGAATGCTTGCCAACACAAATGTGCAGAATATGCTAAAGTTCTGTCAATTTAACTGCGATCCGTTCCTGAAGTTGGTGGAGATTGAGTTGATTCAACGATCGGAACGTTCGGGAAGCAAGAATCGGGAGGGCCTACGAATTTTGAAACCATTGCATTTCCCAAAGATCTTAAGACGCGAGAAGAGCACCATGGCAGCTGCGCACGAGAAAGAGGATTCCATTATATTCCTCAGCAAATCCGATCTGGAGAATATGGAGGCCAAGGAGGCAGCGGCGGCTTCTGCAGCTCAGTCGGAATCCAGTCTGAATCGCATCTCTGAACGCATGCGTGTGTTTCAGTCCACCAAAAAGAAGTGGTTCGGCAAACATCATCCTCAGCAGCAGCAGCAGCAATTGGTAGAGAAACAACAATCTGTCTTGGATCTGGATGAGCAGGCCAAGCGAATGAGCATGGAGCGCTATACGGACATGTCTAAGCTGCTGCAGGAGCGTTTCGGCTCGGATCCAGAGCAACCAGAACAGGATGTCATATCTCTAAACAGCACCGCAGCCTCCGATACTGAGACCACAATGCTAACCAACATGGAGCCCAAATCGTTGGATACGTTGCTGCAAAAGTCCATGTCCCTGCAGGACATTGAGCTGTTGAATGGCCAGTGCAAGCCGCGTCCCGATCTGCTGGCCAGCCACAATCACTCGGATGCCATCAGCGAGGCGGGTACCGAGCTGGAGGATGTGGAGAACCAGACACCGCCCCCACAGTCCTTCATCACGGAGAAGCTCTACAACGAGTTCCATGTGAAGACCCGGCAGTACAGCAAGTCATCGTCAAGCTTGCACCAGTTGCGCCATTTTTCGTTGCCACAAAAGTTGCAGCTCCACGAGGCGGAGAAGGAGAAGCGCCATTTGATGCTGCTAAAGGCGCAGCAGCAGTCAATGGCCAAGGAGCCAATTACTGGAAGAAGGGCAGCGGGTGGAGTTTGTCTTTTGGGTGGAGGACTCAACCACCTGCCGATTTCGCCCGCTTCGCTGGTGGAAGATGATCTTCCATACTCAAGTGTGCGCGATTCCCTGGTAATTTCCGGCGAGGACTGTCTGCGATCGGAGTCCGCCAGCAGACCAGTTCCGGCTGTGGACTACACCAAGGAGAATATATATGCGGAGATCTGTCCCTCGCACACTGTGGACACTTTTTCGGGCGCCACTCAGTTTACCCATCTGCAGGACGATGATGGGGATTACGCATCGCTAAAGTACTCGGTTAATGGACCACAGTCTGTCAGTCGCATCGAGGTGAATGGAGCGACGACGGCGGTGAAGAGCAGCGCCATTAGCTACCACACCGTCTACCTGGGCGAGGAACCGCTGGGCGAGAGACATGCTGCCCACATCACCACCGTGGAGCTGGCCGGAGAGGATAACATTTACAATACGCTCAAATGATGACTCATGTGATTCCGGCGACGTAAGTTTGCCGGCGCCAAGGGCCTGTTTTAAAGACGCCTATGGACAAAGGACAAACAAGGGGAGGGGCCTCTCACACATGATCCTACCCAAGGCCTTCTCACTGTCTTGTACTCGAAAGGAATTCATTTAATTTTCTTAGTAATCAATCTCAAAAAAACACTGATAAATTCAAACTTTATAAAATATTCAATTAATTTGAATACTCACTATATTTATCTATTGCCAATTAGGCTTAATTTTCAATCAATGAAAACCTATTTTATTCTTTTTTTGTTTTTAATGTGTATTTCTCAGTAAAGTACTTTGTAGAATTTATGTTATAATTTTGATAAAGTTACTTACAGAGCTAAAGTCAAGGAAAAATGATCTTTTATAGCGCCTTATAAATGTTTTATCCTCTAATTCAATTGAAGTTTGGTTGAGGTTGATTTTATGTTTGAATAATTTTAATATAATACACCGTACTTTAACTTATGGCAGGATTAACATCCAACAAAATTTCGAGTACAAGATAATGATAAAATAATATTTTAAACAGTGAATATTTGAATAAACCCATTTTTTTTCGCTGCAAGGCTTTGTTTAAGATCTGTATGATTTTGTGGATAGGCTTTTAAATGGATCAGCCACTATCAAATGAATTTATATTTTAATTTGTATACAATATTAAGAAATGGTTGCAGCTAAAAACGCCTTTTGAGTACGTAGTCATAAATCTGTGAAGGCTCTTCCCAATTTAAAGAAAAACACATTTTTTTGTCTGCCCTCTGACCATGGCTTGGAGGAGCTTGGAGTAATATTTAATCATTCAAACTATATTTAATGCAAGTCGAATGCGCTGATGCACAAAAACAAAACACAAGAGAAAAGTATCTTATTTTGCGTTTTAATAGAAAAACAAACACGAAACGGATTATGTATTGTGAATTCAAACAGAATTTGAATCTGGGTTAACAAACACCTAAACAAAAACGGAAAGAAAAATCTCTATCGTAACAAATAATTACATATATATTTGTAGCTAGTAGTATTAGCATAGGGATCATCTTTGTAAATGAGACGTCGCTGTGGACGACGAAAAACCCCCTTGAAATGACAAAAGAAATTGTAATATTATTATTAACCAAGTGAAGACAAGCAATTTTGTATTGTAATCTATATTTGGGTGGCTCCATTGCGCCACCAGTCCACCACCTTCGACACATTAAACACCCCAATCCCCAACCCATACAAAAAACATCATTATGAAACTGAACATTTGAAAATTGCAATATTATACAATTGTATACATTACTTATATATAGCTATACTTATACACATATACTTACATACATACAATATGGAAATCTTAGTGCAAACCTAAGGTATTATTAGCTCGTAGGCAATCAACAAGTCAAATCAAATCATAAGAGATATATATCTACATATGCATATATTGTATATTTGTAAAATAGCATAAACTTTTAGGGCAAAATGCCAAACTTTTACACGATCTCTCGTATTTTGTCGTTCTTTTTTGGAAACCCATTAACTTGGACTTGTTGGGTTCACTTGTTTGTACCGTCCCAACAATTCCAAGTTGATCAAACAAAACGATTACATCAAAGTGCGGGCATGTCCACACAGCATTGTAAATATTTGAATGAGTCTGGTTGTCCGTTTCGTTTAATGCCTGTAAATTAAATTGTGCAGGAAGCCTATCAGAGAACTTTCAATACAAACACATATTTGACATACCAATAAGTAACTTTATCGAGCCATATTGAAGTGCAGTCTCAAAGTAGAGTTTAGACTTTAAGATCCAGTTTCTAGTCTTAATTTGAAAACAAATATGAAACCGTTTCGAACCAGAGACATGCCGAACTTTTACTTGTGTAATGAATGACTTCGGTATCCCGGAGGATTCTTCAATATATACACTTTCAATTGGGTACTACATAAATAAATATTTAGCAAGAACTTATGATTTTTTATTTTATTTCATTTGACACCACAACCAATACAATAACCATTTCTGATTCGAAACTGAAACACTTTTTATTTCACTCCCCAATATGGCATAAGATCAAGGTGGAAAATAATTCAATAAATATTTTAAGGAAAGTCTAGAGTAACCAAAAACCCTGTATAAAATGAAGCAATACTCACAAAATAGCTATGATACTAGTTGTAAAACCTCTCTGACGATGCAACAATGCGGCAGCAACAAGTTCAGTCAGTGTGTGTGATAGTAGCTAAGTAACGAGGGTACTTGCTATCTGAATATCGGTGTTTTGTACATAAATAGGAACGAGGCGTAACCCAGCCCCAGGCATATTATGCGTAATGTGTACTAAGAGTACTCAGTGGCGGTTACTTTGCATTTCATAGTTGGTAGACAGGCTTCGCTGAAGCGCAAGGGTGATAAAATGTTGAAAGTGAGCGTTGACACGCATTCAATCTTTTTTGTCCTCAACCAGATCAGCTTTGTGTTATAAATAGATGTATCATCTGTGTTTGCAGATAATATTAAAGATAAAGAATACTTGACAACTAACAACCCGCCAGCATATAAATTGGTGTGATAATAATGTATAACAGAAAATAATGTGAATTATAATTAGAGGTCAGTTTTAAATTTTTTTTAGAGAAGTACGGAAAAAATATCTATCAGATATGCGCAAATAACATTTTAAACGGATGTTTTATTAATGACGAAATAACATAACATGTCGCATGTAATATTTATTTTTAGCAGCTTAAAATACAGCCACTAATAACACGGATACAAAGCTAGAATGTTATAGAAATCAAGCATTATCAGGAATTTTTACGGAAAGGAAGAACAAATGATTGCACTGAAAGGGGCCCTCAGAATGCCGCCCGAACAGGCCTTTAATATACTTTGTTGCAGCTTATAGTGAGGCAATACAAATTTCAATAAGAATTTAATCGATTATAGAAATGGAGAAACGAACAAAACCAACTAAGTAATCATGTTTTTGGTGTCTATGTTAATCCCTAGAAATTCACACACGATTAATCAATTAGAAATCAATGTCAAACAGTAGTAGTGCCCACACAGCAGCAAATATAGATAAACAAGTATTTAAAATATGTATTCATAAATTTGAAAAATATAACCTTGTAGCACTTTTAGATCCTCAACAAAGAAACAAAGACCCAACTTTAGGTATTCACGAAAAAAAGAAGATGATTTTTGGAACTGAGCGCTGATCGATATTTTAGAAGAGCCCTGCTCTGGCTTGGCATGACTGAATTGAGAAGATGAGAACTAAATTGAAACGAATTGAATTCTAATAAAATGTTTGGAAATGGGTACACGAATACACACATAGAAACACACATATAAGGAAAACTGATACGATATTACTGTTATAGTAGGATCTTTTTCTAAACGCTGACCATGGAAAATATGCAAGAAGTACTGCTTTAACAGCAGCTTAGTGACCTCAGCAAAGGCAGCTCACTTCAACAGATTAACTCTAACTGAGGCCACCCAATCAAGTCTAGCATACAAATTTATATTTCACGTTGTACTTATATTTACCTAGATAAAAAAAAAATTACACACAAAAATCCCTTTGGAAAACATGTTTAAACCCATACAAGTGAAATAAACTAAAATACCTTTTCAAACTGTTGAAAGTATTTTATTTTGGCAAGGTGGTAATTAATTCTAGATCCAAATGTAAGTAGGTTTACAGCTGCCAAATTTATACCTTCTAATCCGTATTAAGCCTTCCTTGAGCTTAATTTTATAAAATTTATAGATTTTAGTTTTAGGTCTTAATTTTGAAGATGTTAAGCCTCTTTAAATTTCTGCATCATAAAGTGCGACATCTAGCGCTGGCTCATGGAACCTGACGTAAAATGTATGTAAAAATAATACAGATGTCAACAAAAAAAAAACGGCTAAGTGGAGATTTATAGTCGAGTTTCAAACCTCATGGCAAAAGTGCTGTCTGCCCTTCGGCGTCTTATATGAAATTTGGTCGGAATTTAGGTCTAGATATCTAACGGAAATAATTTTTGATTTTTGGCTAATAAACCTGATTAAAAATATTTTATTGAAAATGAAAAACTTTCTATAAACGGCAAAATGTTAATATTAGTAAGTTTCCTAAAAAGTAAAATTACATGCACCAACCCCATCCAACCATTTAATTGTTGAAACCTTAAATAATTTCACACAATGCGTTCTTTTATATTTCATTTTAATTTCTGCACATATAGTATACATACATACTAATTCATAATGTTTGTTTATAATTTTCTATGCCTGGCTGCTGCTTTGTTTGCTGTACATGCATCTTACACATTTTGTTTCAGGGTTGTTACATTTAATTATTTGCGTTTCTTTTTTTAAATTTAACGGCCACATTCGATTCTATTGGATTCGGTTTACATTAGTTTTTATATATCATTCGGCCCACTTATCTGGCGGACGTACCGGTTGAAAGAGCAAGCAATTACCTATTTTATTTTGAATTTAGCAGAAGCATCAAAAAGTGCCTTAAAAATGTTAGAAATATTACATTAAATAGAACAGTTTGAAATTTTGCATTTAAAGTTTGTTTGAAATTTATAGCAGAAGTAAGACGAATTTAAGAATTCCTATTTTGTATACTTGGTAAAGCTCTTTCAACGATTGTTTCTAGAGCGCCAACACCATTGCCTAATACTTTTTGAACTCTCTGGGTTTTTTGGTTTGAATTGGATTTTATAGAAACACGCACCCGTACATATTCCAGATATTGTTTGCACATTTAGCTTTGCTTGGGTCTAGCGGTCCCCTAAAATTTTTCGATACATATCTAATTGGTTTTGTAGTTAGTTGTTCATTTTTCATCTTTTATTTTTATAAATTTTTGTCAATTTGGACGACGATCGTCTCCGCTCCAAGTTTATTTTGTTTTTTTTTTTGGTTTCGTATTATATTTAGTGTTAGTTTGGTTTGTTTATTTAGTTAACGATATGTTTGGTATACAAACTTTATAATACCCTGGCTATGTTTTTTGTTTTGGGATAGCTTAGAACAGCGCAGGTTGGCAACTTTTTGCTGAGCACTTGGGCGATTGTTATGCCACCTGAAGCCTGAGGAACAGATCTAAAAAGTCAGGGAAAGAGTCGGTAGCTTTAGAGTGGATGATACATCCAACAGATAGGCATAGAAATCAAGTGGCTTAGCGAACTATGGAGGAGGTAAGCCTCGGGAAATATACAGGTAATCAGTTTCTGTTACGATTCGTAAGTGAAAAGAAGTAACACAGTCATGTTCTAAATGGGAAAATGTATAGTATGGTTTAGGATTAACGGATAGCCAATTGATTTCGGTTTCAGAACATGACCTTTTTTAGAGTTTCAGTTAAGAGGTGTATTCTTTTCTCTAAGTGGTTCTTGTGGCACATTCAAAAGATAGTTTTAGGGTACATATGTAGGTATCTAAACTCTACTCATTCTCATTCTGAAACACACACACATACATTGCTCTAAAACACACACATTCTCACTTTTGCACACATACTCGCGCCTAGAATATAGACATACACACATATAGACCTGGTGGCTAACTAAAATCGTAACTAAATCCCATTTAATTCTACTGGCCAAGTTTAGCCGGACTGAGCACCAATTCTGGCTCGAATTTGCTCGACGTCGCCGAGGATGACGTCGCTGCCGCCGAGGGCGGTGACAGCAGGAGGCTGCTGCCACGCCCCATTACCGATCCGGCGGATGACGGATGTGATTTCTGGTGATCCGTGGTGTTGCTGAACGATGAGGTGGTCAATCCGCCCAGTACCACACCGGATGCGGTGGCCGGTCGCATCAAGCTCAGACTCAGACTCGTGACTCCGCTGGACTCCAGCACCTGGCCGGGAATACTGGCCATCGTGGTGGCTGTTGTTGTTGTTGTTGTGGTGGCCGCTGGAGGCGCCGGCAGCGGTAGCAGACTAATCGTTGTTGTGGTGGGCGGCATTGTGAAGGCAGTTCCTCCTCCTCCTCCGATCACTTTACCCGCGGAGCTGCTCATGGACATGCCCAGCGGACCGCGTACCGTCGCCGTTGCGGAATAGGTGTGCGGCAGGGCCGGTGGCAGGTCATAGCTCGTCGGATGCGACTGCGACGTGGGCAGCCGTGCCGTGATGGTGGGCGTTGTCGTCGTGGTCGTCGTCTTGGGCGTGGCACCCGTGGAGATGCCCGGCCGGTTGAGCCGTGGTATCGCACCCGTACTGCAGCTACTGGGCATTGGTGTTGCTGCTGCTGGTTGTGTTGCTGGTGGAAGAGCAACTGCAACAGGTGTCGCCTCATCGCTGGCATCGATCAGAGACGTCTCCTCCACCACCTCCAGCGAATCCTTGACCGTGGAGGAGGAGGACAGCGACTGGGACTTGGGCACATGCTGTTGCTGCTCCTGCTGCTGCCGCTGTTGTTGCAAGGCCACACGCTGCCGCACCAACTTGCTGTCGGGCTTCTCATCCACCGTGCTCAGGGTGGTGGCTCTCGTTATCCTCGATGTTGTGGCTCCTGCTCCTCCTCCTGCTGCTCCTGATGTTGGGTCTTTGGTGGTACTACTCGTAACGGCAGTTGTGGCTGTTGTACGTTTGGCAATCTGCTTCTGCTGCTGCTGCTGCTCCTGATCCTGATACTGATCCTGCTCCTCGTCACTCATCTCGCAGGCGTTCAGAGCCGTGTGCAGTTTCTTCATCTCCAGTGGTGCATCTAAATGAAACCAAAATTTCATTAGAAAATCTCAATCTTGTTTCTACAATGAAATTATTCTTTTGTCTAAAAGATCTTTACAAGTATTTATTCTGTGAAGGTGATTTTTTTGTTGGAATTATCACCTTAACTGAGACGAACTTTTATATTTATAGTTATTTTAACGACTAAAATACAAAGTGTTTTCTAATACAACAGTTTATATAAATCACTTTACTATAACTTTTCTTAGAAAAACCCAACAACCCAACTAATTTTAGATTATATAACAATATAAAATTTGTCTATTAAGCTAAGAAAACTAGAATAATTTAAAGAGTAATAATTAAAGTACATAATACCTTGTTGTTTTTAAAGACAACTAATAAAACTTTTCTTTTACAAAGTAGTACCAATCATTTAAACCTTAGGAAATTGACTCCTGTTTTCTTATAGTTAATCCATAATGACAGAATGCCTTCTTTTAAAATTAAATAGGGTTCAAAGATTTTACCGCCGCTATCCGGCTCGTTGATGATCGGCACCACGCGATTGATGGCCGTCTTCTGCTCGTTCTGCATGAACAAGGATGTGGTGGCTATCTGGCGCAGTGCCTCCATTCCCTCGTTGAGCATTTTGCTCTGGCTGCGTTTGTGCGCTATAGGATATTTGGGCTACCAAATGCAATGAAGGATATTAATCAAAACGGTGGATGAGCAAAATACGGATATAACAACCTGAAAACTGGGTCCTCTCGCTATCGAAACTCTTTTGCTCTCGTTCCGTAGCAACGAAGTTGTGTGATCCGCATCAATCTTATTGCCGTTTTTCTTGCGCGTCTTTTTGCTGGATGAGATGCAGTGCGATGGACAGATGCAGAAGAGGATGCGTAAAATGCAACAGATCAGGCCCAATCCTGCAGAGAAATGAACAATAAGTACTAGCTCAAATTTGATGTTTAATCAACTATTTCATTGCCTATGAGAGAGGGGCCTATAAGTCTTAGTTCCGTGGTTTTGAAGCCCTTCTCGCCGGTGCCAACGAATGCGATGACGAGGCCAAGCGCCACCGTGCCCAGACCCACGTAGAGAAAGGCATTCGCAAAGGTGCTGGGACCGCGTAGAACGCCCAGGAAATCCTCATCGTCCGACGAGCCGCCCAAAGAGGCGTCTTGGATCTGCCAATGGAAAGGGGCGTTATCAGTACATGTTCTTAAAGGATTTTATAAAAGATGTTTCCATATCAGTACAACTCCAGGAAGACAAACGGAAATGTTTTCGTTTCCCAACTAAAAAGTACCTAAGATTGGTTGAGTATGTAAATGTTATATATGTATGTCTTTTGAGATTTAGGCGACTAAAGCAAGCCTTAAGTCATGTATTAATGAAAATGTAGTTACCTTAACTAGTGATTGTGTTAAGATTGGTAAACAAAGTCTTAAGCACTTTAAGCACAGTTAAATTTAATTTAATATTAAAATATTGTAATTCATTTATTTAAAACATGGTAGACACGAGGTCTAAATTTTTAAGAATGGGTTTCTCCAAACTCAAAAGTTTAGATTCAGGACCAAGCCGTATTATAACTAATCAAAAGTTATTCACAAAATATATTGATATATGTAGCTTTACACACCTTACAATTTTGTATCTAACAAATAAGTATAATTATAATATTTCTTTAAGAAAACATTTATCAATCGATCTTCCTGGAGTTATGGATTAGTTGTGGTTCCTAACAAAATTCGTTATTAAACAAAGGGATTCTTATGAAAACCAAAGATAACAAATTTGTCTAAGCGAAAAGGATGATGACTTCTTAAGTTACTAAAATTGAGGATTATCTGTCTGCTTCACCTAACAGAGAATGCGCTGAACATTGAGAAAGTGGTGCATGAAAGAAAGGTGACATTGAGGAGAGCGAGTGATAGAAGGTTAGGGGTTACAAATAGAGGCATTGGGTTGGGGGTTCTATGTACACGGCGATGGGCGGTCCAGCGTGGTGGCACTTACTCGGTTGCGCTTCACCCAGCGTCGGTGGCAGGTGGCCTGCTGCTGCTGCTGATCCTGGACGCTGCAGCGTCGGCCCCGCTCCAGCCAGGCGGCACGTCCTTGGGCGCACTTTTGGCGTTTCGGGCCGGAGATCGGGAGGTCAAGAGGTCGGGTGATCGACAACGATAGCACGGAGACCAACACCAAGCGACGACGACAACAACACACAGAGGTTGCGGTTGCAATGGCGATTGGGTTTTTATTGTTTTGGCGGTGGTGGTGGGGCAGATGCATAGAAAATATATACAGTTCAGTGATTAGTTTGGGCTGTGTGAGATCGTCTCTCGTTTGTGGTTAAGGGGGAGTACACATATCTTTAAAATGTATATAAATATTTTCAAAAGCATACAATACAACTCATCACAAGAGTAACGTCTAATGCAAAAGCAATCAAATTTGGTTATCAAACCGAATACTGAATTTATATTTGGTTCTAAGAGTTTTCCTCTTGTCATCAATTACAACATCAATGGAATACATAGTTGGTAGCCAATTTCGTAGGTTAGGTAAAAGGCATAAACGCACATCGGAGTTAAACAGTTAACAGTTAGGATATGAAAACGAAAAACAGTTAAACAGCAAGTAATTGGAGAATATAGCTGCATAGAGAGGAAGGTAGACTTAGGTATGGAAAATATGGAACATTAACTGAAAAACGAGAACACTGAAAGGAGTTAAACACTTAGATGGTAGGTGGGGGAGCACACGTCAAGACACAAGTCAGATATAATTTGTAATATTTTCCAGAGAAATCAATCAGCATGCCCAATGCAGCAAATAGCTTAAATTCACAATATCATTTCTGTTGCGCAGCCCATGCAGAAATAAGAAAATAAACAAATAACCCCGTTAAATTTTGTATCCTTGTCTATACCGAAAAAAATATTGTTTATTTAAGTCGCAAAAGAAAAAATAGGACCTAAAACCCGAGAAAGATTTACCAAGTAATGGATATTTAAAAAAAAATTGGTTCAATTCATCTTTATTTTAATATCCCTTTTGGATGTTCTTGATTCGATTTAAAAAATTAAGTTGATAATTAGTACTTTTAATTAGCTTTAGGTCTAAGGTACTTAAATCGCTTCCTTTTTGTATGTTTTGTATCAGCAACACAATTTTAAATAAGAAATCACAAAACAAATCTTGATAGCCCAATGAACAACATGGGAAGCCATGACGCGACGTATACTTAATATTTTGGCATATTTGTTTGCCCTTCTAGGGCTTTATCTTCACTACAACTTGTCGCAAATAATACAAACACCAGTCAATGTCAGTTCAAGCTGCACGGACACCGAGTGATAGATGCCATCATCTACACCTGCCCACCCAATTTGCATACACGTGCACTGACCAAGCACGTAGACGGGCTAATGAGCGACTAGACCCCCGAGCTCGGAGCCATCCTGCTCCATGGAGCCGCGACTATAAACAAGGCAATGTCACTAAGCCAGCCACTAAATATGCTGCGTGCCGGTAATAAGGCAAATAAAACGGCACACAAACAGGCTGGCCTATATACGAATGAGGAAGGAAACCCAACAGATATGTACATATATATATAGATGACTATATAGTTGGTGTATGTATATAAGTGAACATGATGGACTTTGTATGTAGAGCCACGTTTTCTGGTTTCGTTTGCTTTTCGTGTGCAAAATCGCAGTCACACAAAGCGAGCGCCAGAAAAACAGAAAGCTGGCAGAAGGAAAGTGGAGAGAAAGTATCGATCGGCTGCTCCACATAACTGTAGCTGGAACTGTAACTGTTGTCCTGCCCTTGACTTAATGTAGGTGTAATCAACAATTTGCGACGCTGATTGACGAACGACGAGGAGACTCCACCGAAGGCCATCGGAGAGTCAAAAAGGCAACGCACGTACGCAAAGGCGATGCACGAGAAGTGGGGTTACCAAAAAAGATTGGTTGAAAGAGAAGCAACGTCTGAGGTGCGGCCCCGTTGGGAAGTTTATAAAATATTTGGTTATCTTGCTACCTGACAGCCAGGTGTTTGGACAGCTAAGGGTCGAACTTATCTAAATTGTAAAATTTTGAAAATATAGCTACTAACTTGATCATATTTAAAATAATAATACAATTTTATATCTTGATTCATTCGATAAAAAAATTTTATTGAACCAAAAGCATTTAATTTTTGAGACTCTTTCATTCAATTGATTTGAAATACTACCTATTGTTTTGACTAAACATTAATTTGATCAATCTGGTAAGATTTATACAATTATTGCTAATTTCATCAGGGTTTTGCAAGTTAAATAATGTTGAGCTTATCGAGAAAGTAAAGGTAATTTTTATCAATTTTGAAATTGTATATTAGTTTTTAATCAGCTATTTGGTTAATATAATACTTTTTTTGATTCACTTTAAACTTTGAAATCTATTTTTTATACCATAGATATACCAGTTATACTTTTTATACCAATTATATATAAATAAAATACAATTTTAATGTTTTATTTATATTCGTTAGCTATTGATTTAGTAAAGTTCGATTGTTGCTTTGCTTTTGTTATGTCCCCAAGGAGATTACGGTAATTTATACCCCATATGATTTGGTGAATTATTCATATTGCGCATTCGCCCATTGGGACACGTGGCTTACTGAATGTTTGTATCAAATATTTGCTATTTAATTTGAACGAAACATAGCTGCGAATACGCACACGCCATGTGTTCATTAAACTTTCACCTTTTGCCAATTTTCAATATTTCGCACAGTAAACTTTTAATCATGAGGTTAGCCGATATCTATGGCCCTTCGATGGATTTGCTATTTATACGGGCGCCAAGCTCCTGTTTACAAAGTAGCTTCACCTTTTCGTGTAACGAAACTCACGCAATGCGAGCGGACGACCAACAACAACAAAGTGTACATATAATAGAAATGTTGTAAAAATTACAACAAAGCGTCGAAAATGCTTTCAATCGGGTCTGGCTTATGGAGGCGACAAACCGCTAATGAACACCGCACACGGAAGCCAATAAAGGAAAGTGGGCTATGTTATGTGTAAGAAGCTTAATGGAAAATCGAAATTCGCCAAGAAGTCAGCAGAAAATAGCTTCTTCAAATAAGGTATTTTCCAGCTCAAAAAAGTTATTGTTTCACAAATAAATGATTAGCTATATCTGAAGCTTTATCATTTGTTAAAATATAAATGCATTACTGTATTCCGTATTAGCATTTTTTCTATGGGAAATCCTTTAGTTCTCTATTAAAATACAAAAAAAAAAGAAAAATGTATTGGTTCAGAAATCCTAAGAAATGGTCAAGCTCGATAGTTGTTCGACCATTTTTCTACATCACAACAAGATCCCTAATTAAACATGTCGGCGTCGCAATAATGCCCCTATAATTAATGATAATTACTGGGTAAAGGTCTCACCAGCGTTATCCGCAAAGTGGTCACATTTATACAAAGATTAGTGGGGAGTGGATTTTTTTCCATTGTGATTATCGCCATTGATTTTTGTTTCCATTGTGTAACAATGTAACAATAAATTGTTTTGCCGCAATTGGCTGGCGGCGTCGAAAATTAACATGTACTCGTCGACGATTTTCCCTTGGCGAACAGGAAGTGTAGGCCATTAATGACAGCAATTTATTCGTGCTTATCGATTGTTTGTTCAAGTGCGGAATTTGGTTTGCTCTTTTGCCCGCGGCTGGCTGTTAATTTGTGTTTCATTCGGCGGTAATGTGTTGAATCAATTAAAATATATTTATCGATAATGATTTCTTGTTTGTTCGTTTTTTGACGTCTTGTTTCAGTTTTTATACCCTTGATGGTGGGACTTCTACGCCAACTTGTCCCTTAATTTTAAAGCTATTTGGATAAAACGTTACCAAAAATCTGCTTCTATTGCAGTAAGAATGTATACCGGAATCGTATCAGTATATACTTTGAATTAAACCATAACTTTGAATCGTGATTATGATGAAAATTTTAAAGTATTAAATTATTCTGTTCTTCAAATCTTTATTGTCCGTGGTAAAATTTTTTGAATGTGTTAAATCCAAATACAAATTGTTTCTGCAGTGCGCCTCTTTTGCTGGTAAAATTCAGCCGATTTGTATTCCGAATTGAAGATTATCTGCTCGCACCCACATCCCTGTCTTTGGGCAATTGAAAACAAATCTGTGACAGCACTCGTATTGTACCATCTCAGCATATGTAGCCAAGGAGGCAGTTGCCGACAGCCCAGCGATTTGGCCCGTGTACAATTTTATTATGCAGCTGCTGGAGAAAGCAACGACTTCAGCCGAGTGGCGCAGAATCAAGTGCAAAATGCACTTGCAAAATCAGCGCAAAGGGGCAAAGTCCAAGGAAGGGAAGGCGAGGATGTTCGGACAGGTGGGCTGAGAGCCAAGAAACGTGGCCGGGAGGAAAAAAGTGCGCAGGCTAATGAAAAATGCAGGAGTAGCCGCAGCTGGAGCTGACACACGACCAAGTCGTAAAGAACGAGGCAGAGGTTGAGGTAGAGGCAGTGGTAGTGGCAGTGGCTAATGCTATGCTGTGGTTAGACAATGCAGCAGCCAGCGAGAATTCAGGGACAGGGGCACAGAGACAGAAACAGAGACATTACAGGCAATTTCACTAAGCGACACTGAAAGGCCAAAGCTGCCCTTCTCGCCACACTTCAGCCTGATGTTTCTTTGTTTCCGGCTGCTGTCCTGCGGCCCGGAGGCGTCTCGGCTCAAGGTGCTCCACGGCCTATGCGGCGAATCGGTTGAGCTGTCCCATTCTATCTATGTGTGAGTCCCCCCGAAACTGGCACATGGCCAGGGCCACGGGGCGAATGTGGAACAGTACGCTCTTGGTACACAAATCAGCATTAAGCCCCGGCTCGAAACAGTTCATTAGGCCAAATAATGCCCAGGGCCCTTTTCTACTTTGGACACTTCAAAGAAACCGCAGTGTGATAACCCAATCAAGGGTCAGATTACTGCTGGAAAATAAATTTTAGGGTCAGGTGTACCTAATCGGACCTTTTAAAATTAAAATTATAATTACTAAATTATAATTTAAAAAATGTAAATTCCATGTTTCCTAT